AAAATAATGAAATGGATTGTGTTGCTTCCTCTGTAAACTGCTCCTTGATTCATTAGTTATCTTGAGGCAGTAGGCAAAATCTGGGTAAGTTTGCAGAATTATCTTCTTGAGAAAGGGCAAGGGAGGAATGTGGCATTTGTTAAGGTTTCCAGAGTTTAAAGACTACTGCTTTCACTTCCTGTCTTTGGTATGAGGGCTGTTTCAGACAGAAGTTGGACTATTGGTAGTATGGAATTTCTATGAGATGTTGGATTGTTTTGTTTTGTTTATTTACCTGCACTGTGGTCCAACACTGGAATAAGTTGTCCATGGTGGCTGTGGAACTTTGGAGGTGTTCAGGACTTGACCAGAGAAATTTCTGTGTAAGCCTGTTTGAACCCTTCTGTGAGCAGGGCTTTATGCTAGATAAAGATTTAATATTCAAAGGTTCTTTCCAACTTAAATTGTTCTGTGACTTAGTAATTTTAAGTTTTGATAATCTTCAGGGACAGAGAATCCCCCACTCTTTCCAGGCTTGACCAACCACAGTGGTGAAAAATTCTCATGTGTCTAGTTGGAATTTCATATGTTCCAAATCATGCCAATTATTGTTTACTTTTGAACTGTCTCTGTTTCTAATATAACCACTCTGCTGAGGACAGGAATAAGATTTGTCTCTCCCTTTTTTATTCTGAGCCTTGATAAACACATTCCTTTCATCTTTTCTACAAGTGTCACATGCTCCAAGCCCCTTGCTGTCTTAGCAGCACTTCTTTGTAGACACTAACACAAAGTGAGGAAAAATACTGAATTACTAAGAAAAAAATGCACTAAAAATGAATAAACTCAATTTGAAACACTAAATGATTGTTTGATTCTGTTGTGCTAAATAAAACTTTCTTCCTAAGAAAAAGTTTTTTAAAATAAAAAATTGAAGTTCATAGGCACCTTCTGTGGTATGGAAACTTTGTGGTTAACTGTATGTGCAAATAAGAGATAGAAAATGAAGGCTTCTGTGGTCCCACAGAAAAAAAGTGAGGAGGCTGGCCCCAAGGAATTTATTGTCTTTAGAATAATGTAACTAGAGAGATTATATAACTTACTCTAGATAGTGAACAGTTCAAGCAGAATTGCTATATGACAATGCAGAATCATTTGTATGTGATCCATTCTGAAAAAGAAGAGAGAGTAGTAACTTGCTAATGTGCAAACTGTTCTCATCCAGCTTTGTGCTCTTCACTGTATTTCTTCCTATTTTTTTCTTCACTTAAGAAGGATGCTCACCTTTTCCCCCCACACCCTCCACTTTTTATTTGCCTCTCCATACCCTTGTGCAATTAATAATGAGCAGATGGTTGTAGAGAAGAATGAGCTCATGACCATCCTTTCAATTGGTTTTGCCTTTTGCTCAATATCCAGTTCAGTCCACAAACTTGGTTTTCTTGTACAGAAATAGAAAAAAACATTTTGATAAAAACAGTTGGTTGCACATTCAGTTCATACTGTTCGCTAAAAATAAGTCATCAGCTCATAGAGGAATCTTTATGGATAAACTTTTCATGTTAAGACACTGAAAGTAATCGTAGAAATCATATCCAGGTGCATGAAGGACAAGAAAGTCATCCAGAGTGATGAGCATGGCTGATCACCGAGGGAGAGTTGTGCTTGACTGACCTGTAAACTTCTACAATTAAATGACTGCCCGAGTAGAGAGTAGTACAGCACCTACCTGGGCTTCAGTAAGGCCTTTGATGTGGTCTCTTATAAGAGTCTCACAACCCCTCAAGCTATTGCTGTAGAGGCTGGATGGGCAGACACTGAAGTAGATTGAAAACAGGCTGAATGGCTAGGCCCTGAGCATGGTGATGAACAGTGCAAAGTCTAGTTGGAGGCTGGAAAACAGTGGTTTTCTGTATGGAAAGGGGTCCATTCTGAGTCAAGTCCTGTTTGACATCTTCGTTGATCACCTTCGTGATAGGCTGTGGTGTACTCTCAGTAAATTTGCTGATGACACAGAGCTGGGAGGAGTGGTGATCCAGATGGGATGGTTGCCATCCAGGGAGACCTGACAGGCTGGAGATCTGGGCTGACAGGAACTTCAACAAGCTCAGCAAGCACTGTGAATTCCTGCAACTGGTGAAGAAGAGCCCACACACCAGTACATGCAGACAGAAAGGAGATTGGTTGAAATGGACTTGGAAGTCCTCACGGACACCAAGCTGAACAGGAACCAGAGAGATGTTCTTGCTGTATGGAATGTTGCTGGTATCTCAGCTGCATTAGAAGTATTGCCAAGCAAACAGGGTGTTCTTTCTCCTCTGCTCAGCACTGGTGAAGTATCATCTGAAGTCCTGCATTCAGCTTTAGGCTCCCCAGGAGAAGACTGATAAGCTACTGGAGAGAGTCCAAAAAAGGACCATAAAGATGATGAAGGGAATGAAGCATCTCTCCTATGAGGCAAGGCTGAGGGAGCTGCCACTATGTAACCTGGAGAAGAGAAGGCTCAAGGGTGAATCCCATTCGTGTATATAAATACCTGAAGGGAGGGTGCAAAGATGATGGAGCAAGGCTTTTTTCAGTAGTGCTCAGTCACAGGACTTTTCTACGATTCTGTGATATATAGTACCACTAGCTGCTTCTGTTTGAGGAGCCCAGGATGGATATGAAGTTGTTGTCTATTCCACTCTGTATTTACAAAGAAGTTTTTGAATTAAAATATCTTAGCACAACCTTAAAAAGAAAGAAGTATTTTCTTTTTAATGTATACACGTTCATTGTAAGAATGGTGGAAAAGAAGAAGAAAAAGGAGAAATGAGGCATTCTGCCTAGCCTTGTAGTGGCATCTCACCTCTGATCTTTTATACAGATATATCAGTTCAGAGAATGAGAACTTAACGTACAAGGAATTAACATTGCTTTGATTTTGTATTGTTGGAAACAAGGTGTAAAATTTTCACAGAAATTTTGCCAACAGCAAATCAAGAGAATTTCAGTTACTGTGGGAAGGGGCAAATCAGTGACTTGACATGCAACTTAGGAAAAGGCTGCGGTTCTTAGTAAAAAACAATTTAGAGGAAAAAATGTTTGCCTTGCAGCTACTACCTTTAATGTTAATTTCACATGAGCATTAAATGGGATGCAGGAAGCCTTCTGATCTGTCTTGGGCTGAAAGACCACTGGATGTGGGATCACTGTTGTTCTTGCTCTGGATTTGTGCTGTTCCTTGTGCTGGGGTTTCAGGTTTTGATTAATTCTTTTTCAGGACAAAAAGATCATATTTTTTAACCTGCCAAGCTGTTGCCCATCATCAGTTTTCTTTGCTGGTTTGAAACATGTTTTCCCTACAGATTAGTAAGAAAAGGAAGAGGTTGTGTGGCACGCTGCTATCATCTTGTTGTAAAGATGCACCTTATAAGTCGTGTGTAGTGGTCTTATCAGAATGCAGGTGTCTTGATATAAATACCACATTTCTCAAGTTTACCACTGGGAATAGTTTCCTGGAAATATCCTTCATTCTTTACATGAGTCATTCTATTAATCCTCATTTTACTGTTTCTTCTTGAATGTTAGTATGTGTGCAAATTTTAGTATGTGTGTTACTAAAGTTACATAACAAGTTTTAGTATGTATGTTACTAAATGTTTACTGTATAAAAATTCTCATGTTTTTATTGTAGTTTGTGTATTGAGGAAAATTTCATGCATTTCATGCCACACCTTTGAAACAGAGGAGCAGAAACTATAGTCTTTTCTTTTTGAAATAGTGATTAAGTTTACCATTGCAAGTTCTCAGAATAGCAGTCTGTCCTTAGAATGAATTTGTTAAAGGAAAAGGAAGTCAACTAGAGTTTCTGAGACTTCTCTGTGGATGTGACAGTAGAGAGTGTATGCACATGTAGATAAACTGATTTTCTGTAAAGTAGTGGTTTTTAAATACAAGGAAAGAAAATATGTTTCAAGTTTAATTAACTCCATATTGAATATATTGCCCTTGTCTTGCATTTGGAGTTTTCCTGGTTATGAGGTGCTACCAGGTCAATGTGAACACGTAAACTGTATATATTAGACCAATACTTCTTCCTTAGCATTGTCTTGATACCTACTTTTTCAGTATAGAAAAATAACCACTTGTGGAAATAGTACTCTTAAGACTGCAAAACAGAAGTCCCTAAAGGTCATTTAGCAATGCTCCAGTGGTCATTTTCTTTCAGGTAGTGACAAGTGGTGCACATAAAAAAGATGCCCAGATTTTAGCACTCTTTGTTCATTTTAGCTCAAAAGTCTTGTTTTGTTTTATCTTGCCCTGATTTTTAAAATATAAATTTAAGAATCAAAGAGGCTTCTCCTAGTCTGAGCACACAGGTTATCATGCTTCTATATTGTTATGTGAAATAATTTTTTTTCTGTCTCTATAATCAAATTTTTTTGCCTCACAACAAAACTGATTTTTGAGGAGCCTGATATGACTCAGTGGAAGGAAAGTCTTTGCTCAATGCCATTTCATAGACTGCTAATTTGCTAACATAAGAAATAACTTTCAGTCCTTCCAGTTTGTTACTTCTCTCATGAATCCTAGAGTGTAGAATGAAATTGTCTTTTGAAGCAACGAATTCTAGTTGTGTTGGAATACTTTTTCGATATTGGTGGAGCAAGGCTTTTATGCTTTCATGTTGACATAATGGATTTTGAACATGGTTCAAAATGTGAAGTCGAGATATAACTTCTACGTATCTTTGGTGTTTAGAACTTGATTATTAATCAAAAGTATCTCATACTGGAAGTCTCTACCAAAAGGTTTTGACATAATTTGTGCTATTTTCTTTTCTGCTATATTATTATTGTCACTGTATGTAATGGTAAGAAACAAACATCTCTTGTATCCTGTTGCTGAGAATGAGTATTTGCATAGTTCTTTGTCATTAGCAAAAATTTAAATCTTGGTAGCATGTAAAAGTATCTGTATTAAGAATAGCTGATTTCTGATGTGTTTTTTTGTTTTGTTTCTTTTTTATCTTCCAATAGAAAACTGTTGCATCTCCAACTGTTTCACGCCTTACAGATACTTCAAAATTCACCGGTTCTCACAAAGAGAGGTTTGATGCCAGTGGGAAAGGAAAAGGCAGAGCTGGCCGAGAAGATCTGGTGGATAACTCAGGATATGTATCTGGTTATAAGCATGCAGGCACATACGATCATAAAGTACAAGGAAACAAGTAAGGCTGAGGGTTTACAGCACAGAGGGGGATAGAGTATATATTTGTAAGGATGATGTTATGAATCCCACATGTTTTGGTTTTTGTGAATGTTGAGACTATGTTGTCAAGAAGTTGTCTTCAGGAACTGGAACTGATTTCAACATCTGCTGAGCTACTTGCAGCACAATGCCACTTCATTACATTCCTCATGCATATATTGGCAAAAATAAATAAATATGTAGGTATGAAAAATACATCATTTTGTTGAGCTTTAGGAAAAAAAAAACCCAAACCAACAAACAACAAAGCCAAAGTCAAGAGCGGTTATACTCACACTTCATCAATTCAAGCAAAATATCTCAAACATTCCTGAATGTTCAGTTGCCCTGATGATGTCAAAGAGAACTTCTTGAAAAGAGGATCTTTTGTAGCAGTCTTTCTGAAGAGTATCCCATTATTTATGCAGTTTAATTTGACTACTGTTTTAGGGTTTTTTTAAAATGTCTTATATGGGATCTAGCACTTTTCTTAAAACATTCAACAATATACTATTGGGAAGTAAGTGGTAGTAATATACTAGGTTCTAGCCTGTGATTGTCTTATACCACCCATGGAAAAACTGAAAAAAAAGCTATTTCTAGGACAATATAGGCTCTGAAGTATTTTATGTCAACAGAAAGAATTGGAAAATACCAGCCCTTATTTTCCTCCTGTCTATACTTTGTGCTTGTTCTTGTATGTACTGTAGCATGGTTCTGACTGGCTGGATTTGGATGGAGCTATTGTACTAACCTGAGAGGTGAGGAACAAAACATTACTAAGGAAGTCTAGTTAAGGATTTTCACAGTCTGTTTTCAAGTTTGCACTGCCTCACATTGGAAGTGAAGGGGGCATTAAGATAATAATGCTTTAAAATATTGTTTATTACTAAACACTGCCAATCAGATCGCTATTAAATGAACGTTATTTTGCACATATGTTGTCACATAGTCCCTTCAAGCTCTAACATACGTAAGGAAAGCTTATGACCCCTTGGAGTAAGGACATTTACAATTAATATCTATGTAATTTGGTGCAATTTACCCACAAAGAAACCCCAAACTATTATAACTGGACTACATTTTAGGATAGATTCATTTGAAGCCAAGGGATTTGATTCCCTGTTCACTCTTGCTGCCAAACTTGGGAGTAATAGTATTGCTGGGAATGGCTTTCCAATGTTACTAGGAAAACCAGTCCCACATGTTTAAGGTACAGGCAGCTGAGTGTGACCTAGCTGGGGTCCAAAGAATGCCAAAATAAATTAATTGGAATAAAAATAACTTCTTTTTTAAATATTGGTTGAAAAGGAGAGAAAAGGCCGTTCTGATTTTCTGCAAGAGCTGAACAAGTACTTTGACGTATTACTCTGATTCTCTAAAGTTAGGAGAGATAAGATGTTCAGTATTCAAAACCAGCTCTTTGCAATTCTGCCTTGTTTTCTTTCAAAAAGAGCTTGTGGCCTGATTTCCGCGTTCAAGTCTGAATAGAGGTTAATAGATGTATTGCTCTCCCCCTACCCATATCAGTATCCAACTCAGAGTACATAAACCTACATAAGTAGGTGAGCAGTATGTGCTGTCGTGTGCTGTGCAGGTGAACAGTCTGGTTTTGGCCAATGTATGGAAAGGGAGCACTGGTTTTCAGCCCTTCAGCTGTTCATGTTTTGTTCTGCTGACATTGCTGCCTGTCTTGTAACTTCGCCCTCAGTGACCTTTGGAGCCCATACATCAGCCTAAAACCAAAAGAACAATAGCAAACAAAAGGCAAGGGCTTCCTTGTGGACTTGGACATCTTTTTGTCTGTTTATAATTTATTTTGATGTTTGTTTTTAAGCGGAAGGGAAGTTTGTCAAAACACAGCACACACTCTTGTTTAGATTTAAATGGATTTTCCCATGGATGGCGTTAGTTACCTGGAAAGATTTTAGATGTATGTAAAGATGCTCAGGATGCAAAATATTCAGCTTTGTGAACCCTTTCCCAGTGTTCTTGAGGAATGAAAGGTTATCCACTCCTGTGTTGCATTGGGGACCTATCACACTCCAAAGCTGAAAATAGGATACTTGACACCAACAGTGGCTAAATTAGTCTGGCATGGTAGCAAAATGTCTAAACATAAAGAACCTTCTTCATCACTGGCTCCAGGGTTGTCCTGTTTTTTTAATGAATAAAAAGGCTGAGCCTACAACCCTTGATGAATCCTTCAGCTGAGTTACAGGCAAAGTCAGTGTCCCTGTTTTTCCTTTTGACTTTAAGAGTTGACTAATAACTCAGTGGTAAGTGAAAAGTTCTGGACCCAGCCTCACTAAAGGGTGAAGTCCAGCCTACTGCAGAGTCCAAGAGCACACTGTTGATCTGGGAGTTTGTTTGTTGGTAGCTATCTACCTTGTCTGGCACATCAGGTGACACTTTGCTTTTAGGTACACAAAGGACAGGCTTTCTCTGGACCCAAATACAGAGTGTCTGTAATGCCAGAATGTTTCCATACAGGGGGAGTGATTGGTTAGAAAGATTTTAAGATATAATTAGGTTTTAAATTATTAGTTCAAAGTGAGAGAGATCTGCGCACTCATAAGATAGAAGGCATGCAAGGGAATTGAGAGTGTGGACAGATCCAAGCTGATGCTGTCTAGAAATTGAGTTATAGGAGGCTGATGGAATGAGTTGAGGTTCTGCCAGAGTTTACTTTGCATTGCTTGTGCAGTATAAAATCCCTGCCATGAACCAAAGCACTTTATTTGGACCTGATGGAAACTTTGAAATTCTTTCAATGGCATAGTAAGCTTGGGATCAGAACCTGAGAAGATGGTTCAGATAACAGTATTTTATTTTGAGAAACACACTTTTATTTCTTCTTTGTTTCTACAGTCTTGATAGTTTTAAACCTCAAAGTGATACATGAGAAGAAGTCATTCTGATATGACAGTTACAAAGGAAAGTTGTTGCTGGGAAGATAGTACTTAGTAAAGGTTTTTCTCTTTTACTATGCTTGGTGTGAAAGATAATGGCTATGAATAAAAGCATCTTATGCAGCTGTGTATTAGGGGTTCACTGCCTACTTAAGCTCTTACTATTCCACTAATATTGGTAAGAAAATAAAAGCCTAAGTACTTGCTTGATTATTGGCTCTTAAGTTCCAGGCCTGCTTGGGAATGAGGCAAAATACTTTTTCCTACTCATCTGCTATTCCCTCAACTCTCAGGACAGTAAGTACAGCTTATACCTCAAGGATGACAGGAAAGGATAGCTGAGGATGTGCCCCATTTTCAGCCCTTCGAGTGTTGTAGAGCATATTGTCTTCTGATGCACCATGCTGCAGACTGTAACTAAATGTAATGTCTGAAGTAAGGACATGGGAACCTAAAAAAGGTTTACTGTCCTCTCTTTTTTGGGAGGCATCTCAATGCATTCCATCTAAATTTCCAGCTTGATTTTCAGCATCTTCCACTACGTAGCACAGTCTTATGTGACATCTTCTATAAAATCCTGTTGTTCCTAGTTATCTTTGCTTTCATTACTACAGTAGATGCTACCAAAAGAAATGTGATCAGAAAGTTCAGATAGCTTTTAGAAATAACTGCCTTAAAGAACAAACTCAAATGGTATTTAAGTACTGTGGCAGTACACAATCCTTACCTGTATGTCTACTGAAGCTTAACCTGACCATCAAAACCTTTAAGACCGAGGACAAGAAATGAAAATCCTTACTGAGGCAAATGAGTAGTCATTACAAATAATTTTCTAAAAATAGCGTCATTTTTAAGTAAAATATGCAGCAGTGAAAAGGGAATTTCTTATTAGTGATTGCTTACTAATTCAGTTTAGTTACTCCATGAGCTTTAGTTGAGTTTCACTGGGAGTTTTGCAAATGGAAATGCCAAAACGAAAAATTATTATCCTGCTCTTTGTGGTTATCAAAGTTATCACAATAGCATTACTGAGAAGTAGACATTAAAAAAACCACACAGTTTCATGAGTCCTATATGAACAGTTGTAATTAATTGTAATCAAATATTTAGAATCCCAAGGGAAATGTTGAATATTGGACTATAGCCAAAATTTAGCCCCTATTTTTTTAAACCTTTAATACATCTTACCTCCTTTTCATTTAGGGAAGGGAAAGGGAGTTTTCAAAACTACTCATGTGTTACAGCTTACGTTTTTCATCTGCATAGATATGGTCTTTCAAAGATATTTTGAATTTAAGTATGTATCTTACTGACCTTATCTAAATTTAAAATTCTGGCAAATTAAAAAGCCTGACTTTTTTTTAGCATTCTACAAAGCTTTGTTCACAAATTACCATTTCAGTCATCTGTATTTTCCCTCTATTGGCTCAGTTAATATTTTTATGGTAGTTGGAATTAGGCAGAACAAAAAGGCAAATGACTGCTATGGGTTTGACTTGCAAGTGATAGGTATCCCAGCCATCTGTAACCATCTTTAGAGAAAATCCTCATGTATATTACTCCAAAACCAAAACTTTACAGCTGTAATTGATAGATTTTTTTTTTTGTAAGGCTTTTCATAGTTAGGAAGTGAATTTTAATTCTTTGTGCCTGCATGTATGATAGTCAAAACATAACCCTGCCTTCAGGGATGCATGTATTCTGAGGGCACATGCCTGTCATCCGTGAATAACAATTCTCTGTTTGCACTGGCCAAGAGCAAACCTTTTACCTTGATGATAGAGCAGATGTAACCTTGCCTTGCACTGATATGTGTCCTCTTAACTGACTGTCAGCCTTGCGTGTGTGCCAAAATAACTACACCTTTGTGTATGTTGTTTGTAGTGTGAATATTATGTTCTTGGCTTGTCACTTAGTTGGTATTAAGTAATGTAATGCACAAGACTTGTGTAGGTTTGTGTGTGTGTACACATGCTCTTTGGATCCAGCTTAAGTAATTAAACTGTATAAATCTTGATGAAAAACTTAAATTTTACTAGGGCCAAGCTCTAGTCCTGCAGCCAATGCTGTTCAGCTTGGCTGGTTAGGGACAGTGTCATTCTCCCTTCATAGCATGAAGGTAAAGATCTAAGGAGGCTTTTATGGTTTTACCTGTCTACCCTGTTCTGAGAGAAATCACTCTTCAGCAATTCTAACATAGACTTAGCGTGACAAGAGGAGTTTGTCCACGGAGAGAAAGTAAGAGAAAGAGAGTTAGGGTGAAAACAAGCTTTCCTCTTGAGTGCTCTTAAGAAACCATTTAAAACTATGCTCTGCATGGGCCCTGTATTTTCCTTTGCCCCAGCTTTGTGAAGCAAGTTGACACTCAGTGTATAAACAGA